ATAGCACAAGGATACGCTTATTACCGTAATGCCGGATGCATGGGGGCACACAACTACCAAGTTCTCAACGAATGTGATGCTCAATGCAAATCCATCCACTCAAAGACCTGTGAACAGGTGACGGTCAGTCTTCCCCAAGATGGAAATGCAATGATTTGTTGTCACGAGGCAGTTTCACTGACACAATGTCATTTTTGTGACATCAAAACGGTTACTTCATGGAATACGAGTACATGTATTAGCTTGAGAAGCTTTTTCTTGTCATCGGCATACAAGAAATCCTCCTACTACTACTACTAGTACACTGGCACTGCGTTTGTGGATCCAATTGTATTTGACATCATACTAGAGCCTAGTAGAGGAAGAGTGTCGTGGAGTTCACATAATTATCACAGGGATAAAAATACATTTCTCATGAAATAAAATAATAATTGATGATAGCTAGACGATCGTATACGATTGATGCAAAGTCCTTGCAGTCCTTGAGGACTATTACGAAGTGGTTGATTACTTTTAGGGCATTCATTCAAGCAACATCAAACAAATGCGATACGATCCTTGAAAATGGAAAAAAATTCAAGCATAACGACAGAACAGCAGACCAATCGAAACGAGTAAAAGCTTCCTTACCTCAGTCATCGTCCTGCCATGTAGTTGGACAGCCTTTTGACACGGTGGTACAGGCAGCTCTTGTCCAGTCAAACAGGGTATCCTTGTGGCGTCGAACGAAAGAGAGTGTCAGTGTATCTGACTCGTCAGATTGGAACTGTGCTGAACTTTTCTCGTTCTCCGCTTTCTGCTTTCATCCCTCGCTCTGATGAAACCGTTCAAACGCCTTACTGGCAGCAATGGCCAGCCAAACAGGGGATCCTTGTGGCGTCGAACGAAAGAGAGTGTCAGTGTACCTGACTCGTCAGATTTGAACTGTGCTGAACTTTTCTCGTTCTGCAATTTCTGCTTTCATCCCGCGCACTGATGAAACGTCTTCAGAGAACCACAAGACGTTTTCCAGATTTGATTTTGAACGTCTCCTTATCCTCCTTGGTTACCTCGAGAAAGATTACTGTCAGCAACTGCACGGCAGAACTGGCAGCCATGGCTGAAGTGAAGAAAGGAATGCGCTGCCACGAGGCAAGCAAAACTGAAAAGGTGTTTGTTCTCTTTCGGGCACAACACATGCACACAGGACGGCGTGACTGGATAAACTGGACTCCTGGACCGTGAATAGGGGACTTGTAGAAAAAGTGTACTCCTTATAGGGATTGCGCGGCAGGATGAAGCTGATCAAAACTGAGTGGACTCCTGGACTCTGTATAGTGGATTTTGGACCAATGGACTCTATATAGGGTGCTGGACATCATATAGTGCATGGACTCTATACTGAGTCCTACATATATAATATTGAGTTTAGAGCTAATGTTGATTTGCCAGTAATCCTCTGATGAGATGGCGACGAAAACGTTTCGGAACAAGCTTCGTTATTTACATGAAAACAATTTTTGCTAATGGTGTTTGTACTGAGTGTGCAGCTAACTCTATTTATTGCGTTGATTACATTTTTATCTCCACGTAAGCTTTTTAATTATTTGAAGAGGAGACATGATAGATCTTAGATTGAAGTTCTCAATAATGCCCTGCGGTGTCGCGGCCGTCTTAACAATGTTCTTTGTAATCACTCTTTTTTGCGTGATTGTCTTAAACTTGGCGTAAAACCTAAACGTATTCAGGCCCGTGTTCGTAAATGTAAGGTGCATGACTACATGAAGATTGAGCGAATAATTGTTAGAGATGAGTTAGCCAAGTCGCTCCTTACTTGTGACCGTTTGAAGCGACAGTTTCACCGTATTAATCTTGAGATTCGTGCGTTCCTTAGTCCATGTGATTTCGTTCGGTTTTGTGGATTGATTGGTGAAGTTGATGTAAAGCAACGTCACCGCTTACATGTGAAGTATGCGCACCAAATTGAGCTGCTGAGAAAGGATCGTTTTGGTTCGTTTCATTGTAATGATAAATTCATTATCAATTTGTCTGACTATACACTTTCGTCTGCTGAGAAAGAGCTGCTTTGCCGAGGTATGAGTTTTGGTTTGCCGCCTAAAACTAACCGAGAAGAAGTTATGGCTGATTTTGAGGTATTTTATGATCGCCTGTCCTCATCACTACCGAAGACAAACAGATCAGCGTCGGTGTGTGCAACCTCTCTGGCTGACATTGCGAACCAATACATCCAGTCTAGCAATGACACGACATATTTTACACTAACACGTGAACATTTTAGAGTCCGGAAAGAATTGCGGAGTAACAACAACATTGTAATAACCAAACCTGACAAAGGAAGGGCTACCGTCATTATGAACAAACATGACTACATCACGAAGACACATACCATTCTAAACGATAGTTCGAAGTTTACTGTCATTGGGCCCATTGAGACACATGATAAAACGGCTAAAATAGAGGAACAATTATGCAACTATTTCAAAGAGTTAGTATTGCTGAAGCAGATCACGCAGACTGAGTCGGATTCATTTAGTCCAATTGGTTCTGCGCGACCGCGCATGTATGGCTTACCCAAAATTCACAAGGCTGGTTGTCCAGTTCGTCCGGTTTTGTCCATGTGTGGTTCACCGCAGTACAAAGTGTCGAGATGGATTTGTTGTTTGTTACAGCCTGTTCTCGACATGTACAGTACATAATAATAGTCAAGGATAGTTTTGAGTTTGCCGACTTTTTGCATGATCACGAATTCCCGGAGACATTCTTCATGTGCTCGTTTGATGTTGTGAGTCTTTTCACGAACGTACCTTTGGATTTTACGATTGATATTTGCTGTGATGCTATGTACCGTGGTAATGTAGGTTCTCCTGTTACTATCGAAGACACGTACTTTCGCCATCTTATGAATATGGTTACGACTGGCGTTGAATTTTCGTTTGAGAATGTTATGTATCGCCAGATAGATGGTGTCGCGATGGGTTCACTGTTGGGTCCAGTTCTTGCAAATATATGTGGGGGTTACTGCGAATCATTGGTCCCCAAATGTAAATGGCCTGCGGTGTATTGTCGTTTTTGTTGACGATAGTTGGTCCTACTTTCAGTCTCGGAGCGACGCGCAGGAGTTTCTTGAATTATTGAATAAGCTGCACCCGTCACTGAAGTTTACTTGTGAGTTTGAATCGGTTAGAAAATTGTCCTTCTTGGACGTTCTGGTAGAGAAGTCTGGTATGGGTGGTGTAATCACATCAGTGTACCGGAAACCAACGTTCACCGGCTTGTACATTGTTTGGGACTCGTTTACTGCGAGGTCGTACAAAATAAATCTCGTTCGTAATCTAGTGGATCGTGCTCGTCGATTATGTTCGCCTTCAAAGTTGGATGAGGACCTGGAGCGGCTACGCACTTTGTTTCGTTTAAATGGGTACCCGGAATATGGGATATCTAAATATGTCGTAGTTAGTACACCGGTTGGAGCGAAGGAAGTGTCCTCCGAGGCCACTCCGGTGTATCTTCGTTTACCTTGGAAGGGTGAAGCTGTTTGCCGTACCATGCAACGTCGAGTTCAGTTAGCTGTAGAATCGAACTTTCGTAATGTCAGTGTCCAGTTCGTCTACACAACAGCTCGTGCCTTCATGGTGAAGAAGGATGTCCTACCCACTCTTAAATTATCACATCCTATTTACAACTTCGAGTGCCGGCAATGCGAGGGCCGGTATGTGGGTAGGACCCTTCAGCACCTTGAGGCACGGATCCACCAGCATGTGCCTCTTCACGTTATGCCTGTTGAGGCACGGTCGTCAAGGCCTAGACGAGGTCGTCCCCCAAAGAATGGTGCTGAGACTGGAGGTGCACCCTCGCTGGGGACGGAACCAACTGGGGTGTCGTTGTCTTCTTCATCGGCATCGGCTTGTTCGTCATTGCCTTCGTCTTTACCATCTCTTCCTTCTGTCCCGTCATCACCGTTGGTATCTGCGGTTTCGTCTTCTTTCACCTCCTTGGTACCGTCATCCGGTGTGTCCACCTCCAGTGGCAAAAAGCGTGGCCGGCCACCGAAAAAACCACCAGATGGTGTGCCTGCGGGACCAGTGACTCGCTCTAGGGCGAGGTTGGCAGAGTCTTTATCGTCTCCGTTGTTGTCGTCATTGTCGTCGTCAGCATCTTCCTCATCTCCCTCCTCCTCTTCATCAACACCAACGGCCATTGCAACGTCAAAGGGAGAATCATCGCAGCAGTCTGTGCCAGTAACGGACGTGCCTTTGGTACTGACATCTACATCGGCCTCGTCTGGATTGGCAGTAGCGGCAAGGAATGTGAGGTCGGTTTCATTGTCACGTAATTCCAAAGTATGTACTGGTTCTAGTAGTGGTGTTAGGGTGTATGAATCTTCTGTTGCTAACCATCTTGTTCAGAATAGTGATTGTCGTTCTAGTTATACTGATGATTGCTTTTCTGTTGGGTCTCGTTCACGTAGTCCAAGGTATCTGCGTGTATTGGAGTCTATCTACATTTTTCCCACCAAGCCGAGTTTGTGTAGGCAGAAAAAGAATTTGTTTACGTTGAATTTTTTTGTGAATTTAGATCAGTAGTTCTCGTTTGTGGTTGCATGGTTACTTTCTAGTGGTGAATTTATCGCATCTGTTGTCACCTGATATCGTTGATTGATGTAATGTTTCTTTCAGCTCTCATTTTCTCGCGCTAGTTAGGGTCTAAATTATTACTTACATTGTGCGTATATATATGGAGTTTAGAGCTAATGTTGATTTGCCAGTAATCCTCTGATGAGATGGCGACGAAAACGTTTCGGAACAAGCTTCGTTATTTACATGAAAACAAGTTTTGCTAATGGTGTTTGTACTGAGTGCGCAGCTTACTCTATTTATTGCGTTGATTACATTTTTATCTCCACGTAAGCTTTTTAATTATTATTATTATTATTAAATCCTAATATACACACACCTTTGGGGTTACGGACTCTTTATAATATATTACAAGTATATCTGATAGCAAAAAATTCAAGAAAGAAGTGTTTTCCTGATTACCGAGCGCAGATGAACGACGCTTAACAATACACTAGCAGGGAGAATGACGCTTAACAATACACTTGAGCTATCCAGTAACACCATCCCAATTTTCGGACCAATCTTCGTCCGGGGAGGTGGATGATGTTTCATAATCATTGGGTCTAGGAATAGGGGATAGGGGGGGAGAGAGGGGGGGAGATAGGGGTGCTGGTGCCGCGGCACTGGCCGATGCTGCTCTGCCGAAATCAGGATAAAATTGTTGAAATGGGTTCGGTTGTCTCGTAGGACTTACAATCGGCTTTCCAGGTTCGCCAGGATCATCCAAGAAAGAATTCTTAGGAGGTTTCACCTGAGGCCTGAACGACTGTTGTCCAACTGCTGGTGCTGGTGGTTCCGCTGAACTGGCCGATGCTGCGCTGCCCAAATCAGGGTAATGTATTCCGTAAAATGGTTCAGATGCTCTCGGAGGCCGACCAGGTTCTCCAGCAAGACTATTCCCTTCTTTGTCCAAGACGCTGCGTGCTGCTCCAGCAAATTCAGGTTGTCCAATATCGCCCGGGCTTAAGTAAAGCGGACGAGGGGGTATCAAATCACGCGGAATCGGCGGTCGTGCAGCCGCTCTACCAAAGTCAGGCCCAACCATATCTGGACGTGGTCCACCTACTCTATGAGGCAGATGTCCAGGTAGTCCAGGGTTGCCCCTATTGCGCAAACCAAGCGCTATTGGATCTGCTCTAGGAGGGTTTAACATAGGCCTGGGAGGTGGTGGTTCAGCTCCTCTACCCCGATCAAGCCCTTCTAGCCGTTGTTCAAGTCTTTGGAATGCGGCCAAACCAAGTGGTGCAAGCGGTTGGTTTACTGGTCTAGGTTCTGGTATAGGTAGTCCTTGTCGTCCACCTACTTGCCTTGTCAGTAGGTCCCATCGTTGGTTGTGTCTGTAGTTCTCCCTCCTTTCCCTCCTTTCCACGATTTTATCGATGTCGTCTGGATCGATGTCTTCTTCATCGTCTGCATCGATGTCTTCATCATCGTCTGAATCGATGTCTTCCTCATCGTCTGCATCGATTTCTTCCTCATCGTCTGCACCTGTCAAGATAACACACAATTATAACGAATTGGGCTTTTAGAATCACTCTGAATTTGATTGCTGAACAACATCCTCCAACCTTTGGCCGGGTATTTCCCCCAACAGTCTAATATTTCCGGCAGCAATTCATGGCGATTTTCCATAGCCAACAGATTTTAATATTATTTTGCTTTGTTTTCCAAGCTTTCTATTGCCGTGGCTGGCTCAACGCCCTTGTCTCAGGGGATTCTGTCCCTGCATTAGCTATGTTTGTCACATGTTATGAAATTGTGTCTAATAACAATAAAAATAAAGATCGGCTCGCTCTAGAGGATATTGAAAGACACGAGATCGTTGACATTAACGCCTGGATTCTGTGCGGGGTGAGTGACCATGAGGCATTATATAATACTAGAGCCATCTTGCCATGCCACGATATTAACCAGTAAGAACAATTATACTGGTATGGTGCTAACATTCAACGGCTAGACGCTCAGCCCCGTCACCAGCCGCTTGCAAGTATTTGTCAGCGGATAACATTATAAACCTTCTGCCATTTCTTTTTGATTTTACCTAATTATAGACTCCATGTACGAGTTTATTTTGGATAGCTAGGTAGTTCATATAGAAAAATCGTCAAAATAAAATATGCTTATGTCAAGAATGCGGATTAGACCTCGGTACCAACCTGGAAGCTCCATGCCAATATGATGATGAATCTCGTTAAAGGCAATGTCTCGTATCCTTCTTCGCTCCTCTGGATCCGCCATGGGCTGTTGTAGAAATGGATTATACTACAAAAAAGGCAATGATAACATACAGCTATGTATAGTCAGCAACAGCCAAGGTGACTTATGTATTTCTGATCCTTACTTGCTTGAATAGAAATTGTGAAAGTAAGTTTGAAGATAGTTTATAGTCGCCATGTGCTACTTTTTGCACCCTCGATGACGGCGTGTATTAAGTATGATCGAGTAGTACCTTTGAGTAAGGTCTGCAAAGGACATTATGCATTTGTTTAAATTGTGTGCGTGGTGTTCATAATTAAAGGAGTGAGTTTTTGGAATAGGGCCATACCAGGCCCAAACGTTCGTTATAGCTGTCGGTAGTATTACCTGCACTTGTCTAGGTGCTCCAGCCTCCAATTGCGCTGCAGGCCATGGTCTATGTACTGGAGGTGGTAGCTGTAGCCGTGCTGCCGGGGCTTGTCTAGGTGGTAGCAGTGGTCCTCCTATCTGCACTTGTCCATTTTGTCTGCGTGGTATCAGAAGTCGTAGTGCCGGAGCTTGTCCTGGTTGTCTGGGTGGTAGCGGTGGTCGTAGTGCCGGAGCTTGTCCTGGTTGTCTGGGTGGTAGCGGTGGTCGTATAAGCGCGACTACTCTAGGCCTTCTAGGTGGAGGCGGTGGTGGCGGTGGTGGCGGTGGTGGCGGGGGTGGGCTCGCTTCTCTCTCCGCCGCAGGATGTCTGGGCTGAAACAGGCCTCGTAGTCTTGGCCTTCCAGGTGGTGGCGGTAGGCCCGCTGCTCCCCTTGCCGCAAAGCCTGCCCATCGGTCTTGGTTTTCCGGATGCTGTGCCTCTCTCACTCGTATCCTATCATTGGTCTCATCGACTGTGAGTGCCCAGAAAACACACAGAAATAAAAATTTGGGCTGGTAAGATCAGTCTGAATTTGAGTGCTGAACAACATTCTGCCGATACAGCGTAGACATAGGCTTAATTCACCGGATAGCTTCCCCAACAAAACAATTGAAATACCTCCGACAAGCGAAACTTGGCGAAATATTTTTGACTTGGAGAAAGTCGACACAACTCGCGCTGTGCAATCCAAAACAAAGACTGAAATGCAACTTTGTATTGCTCAACAAGAACATCAGAGACCTAAGTTAGTCCTAAAATAAATACAGCCAGGTTCTATAAAATTAGAACAGGCATGCCATGGCAAAATGTATGGAGAAGCAGATCCCAAATCCAAATATTTGAGATTTAAAGTGGGTTTTTGATCCTTAATTCGGCCCAAAGCGGACTTTGAAAAACCAGCAAAACTTATTCCGATGAATGGACTTTAATACCTCTCCTATGACCCCTCTGAAATTTTTTATGTCGCTCCTGAGTTCTGTGGTGGAGCCACGATGTCGACGGCAGTGATTTCCGCACCATTCGTCAGGATTCAGTGATAAGAACTGTGCAACACCTCCACACGTGCTTGGCCTCCAACCTTTTGGGTGGGTATTCTCGCTCCCAGTCCAAAATTGTGGGCATCAATTCATGGCGATTTTCAATAGCTACCAAAGACGGCTCTCGCTCCGGAAGCTACTGAAAGACACCAGGTCGTGGACATTGACGCCTGGACACTGTGCTCAGTGAGCGCCCATGGCGAAAGATAGAGAGACACAGAGAGAGAGAGAGAGAGAGAGAAGGAGAGAGAGAGAGAGAGAGAGAGAGAGAGAGAGAGAGAGAGAGAGAGAGAGAGAGCGAGATCTATAGAGAACTCCTCGGTTTTTCTTTGACACGCGAAAGCAAAACGCTTATGCTTCGCAGATTAGAAGCGCGCACCATTGTGCTGGTACAGGAGAGACTGGCCTGCCTCACAAACCTCTGACACATGTTTAACTCAGCTGTAGGCTTCCAGTGCATGGGTGCAAGCAGCTACATGTAGGTCGCACCTCGCAGCTAGCCTGCTGGTACCACAAGAAAAAATGGGAGAAGAAAACGTCCCACGTTTCGGTTACCGGAGGTAGTACAAGACAAGCACATAAAGAAACAGTTAGCTGTAAGGATCAGGGTTGTTTTGAGTAGTTTTTCAATGCTGACAATTATACGAAACCTCCTGGCAATTGACAATGTGCAACAATACATGTGCAGCCGGGGTTTTGACGCTCAACGACAGGACGGTCTGCCCATCAAGTAATTGCAAGTATTTGTCAGTAATGGACCACTGCGGATAAAGGTTAAACTTTCTGCCTTTTCTTTGTGATTTTACAAGTTGACTCTCAGTACGAGTTCGTCTGTGAATAGCTATGTGGTTGACAAAGAAAAATCGTCGCAAGAAAATACATTAATGTAAAGCTTTCGGATAAGACATAAGGACTAACCTTCATATTCCTCTGGGTCCACAATCCGCATTTCAACATCGTCATCCGACATGTTCTGCAGTGAAAATCGAACCCGCTACAAAAGAAGCAGTGGTGACTTATGACTATTTATAAACAACAGCACTCAAATGAGACTTTTGTAGTTCGGATCGTTACTGGTTTGAATGCAAAAAATTGAAAGTAAGTTTCAAGACAGTTTTCAGTCGCCGCGGTGAGCTACGGTTTCGATGTGGGCGTATATCAAGTAGCATCGAGTAGTACCTTTACGTATCTGAACCAATGAATGTGTAAGTATTGTGTGTGATGCGTATATAATATGGGGAGCGAGTTAATGACTAATCTGTTCATTCCCTAGTCACAGAGAATGCCAAGTGTCATTGACAGACCTTAGAACATAGCAAAATCAGCGGAAGACAATCGGGATTACCCTTTTGAGCCCAGCTGGGTTTTCTGATTTCCCAGGCACTTGCACAGCGATGCACGCAACCATGGATGGTCGATTTCAAAAATTTCATAATTCACTTACCAGCGATGTAATTTCATGATCTTGAGCTCCCTGAAAAGCATGTGACATCCTCCCTCCAAAGTTAAAGACTAGACACTAAGCAGAAGCAACAGAAGCGCCTCCGAGTCCCTTGAGTGCAGCTCCATTGCGCCTAAACGAGATACACCACCCACAGCCAAAATTTCCTTTGTTTCTTCAGTGTTACATTATATGACTTTTATCATGCCGCTGGACAATCTTCAGAACACTGAAAAAATGGGGCTGTTCTACTCAGCAGTACCCACATAGTATTACTGTATGTCAACCATGAAACGAACTTGCACAGCTTTGTCACCTCCCAGCAGACCTGGGAAATCGCCACGCCGTCACTGCAGGTGTTCATTGACTGACTGCACGAGTGGGGGCGTACGTGGAAAGTGGTGTTTGATCCGACCAAATCCAAGGCCATGACAGCCACCATCATTACATTTGTTCGCATTCAGGGCCGGTCTTTGGCCTTGACTGTGCAATTGGCTGTGCGGCGTGGTCGGCTGCAGCGGCGGCTGACAGCATGCAGGGTTTATTCGCCGCTCCGTAATACTGATATCATACTTAGAGTTCGTCACTCTTTGCAAATTCTTCATCACAGCTTCTTCAAATTAATTTTATCTTTAGTTCGGCTTAAGTCTTTAGTTCCACTTTCTGGCGAGCTGATCTACTCACCTCCCACCGCTTTAGGAGCTGCATCTGCGCCTTGATCCTTGAAGGGTGGTGGCGCTGCTACTGATGCGAAAAAAAAGGTTCACGCGAGACTCCTGCCAAAGGCCGAGTTTTGCGCAAACCACGGCAGCGCCGCAGGCTATTCAAGTAAGAACTAACCGGGGCAAGTGTGTATCAGCAACAAAAAGGTGATGACGAATGATCATGATAAATAAGAGGGTGACAAAACACATGTAGGCACAAGTGGCAGCAACACTGCACAACCAAAATTATTTGAACAACTTTAAGGTAATAACACTACCTTTCTGGACACTCAAATTCGGATTATGAATGCGTTGACAAAATTAAAAGCTTCCAATCTTTTTTAACTACAACACTTAACCATGACGAGCACGGCACGGAACAGAAAAGCAGGAATCAGAATAAGTAAAGCAAATGTCAGTACTAGAGACCAAAATGTACACTGAAGATTTGCTATCACGAAATGAACGCACACAATTTCGACTCCCACACACACCCTCTCACTCACTCTCATCCTCACTCAGCGCACCTTCCCTTTCACTACTCGCATCTAAGATTGCTCCATCATCCGCACCGGCTTGACTAGCTTCCACATTTGCATCGTCCTGCGTCTCATCATCGCCATCAACGCCAGTCGTAGATTCCGTTGCCTTCATGTCAGTCATCGCCCTCTTCGATTGTTTCCTTTGTGTGTTTACTGTGAATTCATAGGTCCGATTGGAATCAGCAGTATATTTGCGCGGTGTGTCATTTGCTTCCTTCTTGTATTATGGATCATAATGCTGTTGTTGTTAAACGTGAAGCTAGTGTGGTTGTAGCTGCCACAGTTGTTGGTCCTTCTATCGAAAGTTGCACTGGGTCCGGTTGGCAAATCACCCGCCACGGGAGCTCTCCACCAACACAGACCTCAGAAAATGGAGGTTCAGGGGAGGCAGAGGTGATGCCACCACCCGAGGCACAGCGTCATGTAAAGCACCCAGGGGTACTGACTCAGGTACTCCCGAGGGCTGCACCAATGGCGATTCCGCAAGCACCTCTAAAGTGCTGCAAAGCTCAAGCCCCTCAAACACCAATGTCAGAAACGGAACGGCAGGGAGAGGCAGGGAACTTACCGGCCATGTAGATAACAGTTGTTTCCTGGTCCTCCCGGGTTTGGGCCTCTCATATCGTGCACCGGGGGGAAGATTGTGTAGTGGCGTATGTTGTTTGATGCGTCTTACAAAAATACCGACTTACACAATGTCGCCAATGAATTTTGTAGATATAAGGACTGAGGTAGAGGGTTGGTAGGACATCCTTCAGCGCATTGAACACACGCATTGTCGTGAAAACTGGCACAAAGGGTACTGCATACTAATTACAACAGAAGATTGAGTTGATCTCGTAACACACTTTCCTGGGCCTTCCATGGCAAACATAGACAGAAGGGACAGCGTGATGGACCAATCAGCAACGATTTCGGTGACTCCTCCATGTACATAAACGTTTGCAACAAGAATTCTGAACAACCATTCTTCAAGAAAGCAGATCGAAGAAAATCAAGCTCGGTCTGTAATTTCCTGGGCGAACAAACACGTTTCACACGGCCCGCGACGTTGTATATACCTCCAAACTCTGGGTTCACATAGGAACACAGACTCATGAAAACTGAATATGGATCGCTCTGACGACTTTCTGGGACACTACCATCCATTTCCTAATTCTCTTTCTCTCATTGAAGCATTGGGGAAAAAACGGTTAAGGTTTCATGAACATGTAACGTTTTAATGTCCTAGTCAAGAATTCTTCGATTTTTGACTCTTTCGAACAATTATATATAGAGCCAATGTCTCAGTCCTTCTTGTCAGAGTTGTGCCATTTGGCGCAGTATAATATCTGGTCACGTTGGTTTACAGTTAGTCAAAGCTCGTGACATTGTTGTCCTCCTCATATTCCTCCATGACCACCATAATTTAATTGGCTCACCATCCGATTTCTCTGTTTGTTATTAGATGTATTTATCTTTATTATCATTTCAACGACCTGACACGACAATCATTAACATTACTTTCAACAGCAGTTCCTTCTGCACCCAGC